CTTCTAGACTCGAAATCGATGCGGCTCCTGTCAAGATTAAGAGATCAATGACCACGTGGGGGCAGTTGCACCGCCGACCTTGACCGCAGGATCGTAGTCAAATCCATCGCCCCTGATCTCAGGTGCGGGCTACCGCGGAATGTCCTGTTTCTCTCTCCAAGATCGGTCTCCTTTCACAAAACACCAGATTTCCTCGGTCACAGCTTCGACGGTAAATCCCACGCTGGCGGGCCGGCTGGCCGGGGCCCCCTTCCACCGTCATCGGCCTCCTCGTCTCGCCCCTTCTCACCTCCACCCGCTGCTTCCACCTTCACTTCACCCGGTTCCTCAACTTGCAATTCCGCTCCGGTTCGCGCTCGTTGTCTTTACCCACATTCTTCATGCCTTTATCCATGTCTTTGTCCCAGTCCCGGACCCATTATCCCGGGAGCCCTTTCTGTCGCCGTCCCTCTTCTTCTGCGGGCATTAGCTCGTGCTCAGAGTTGTCAACACCAGCCTTCCTTCTTGCGCCTTCGCGCCGCTCCGAGAGTGACTTCTGCTGCGGCTAACACCGCCACCACCATTGCCACTACCACTAATTTGCTACAGACGTGTGATGTGGTAGCTCTGGCGTTCTCTGACACTCTGTACGGCTCTCTGGCCCTCTTGCTTTCTGCCAGTCTCTGGCGCGGACGTATGACGATTGTCCTTATGGTTAATGGGACAACCACTACCTATTATGGGACATGCCCCTACCACGCAGAAGGCCGCGGACGGCTCGGTCCGCCCGGCGGACCTCGAACCAGCCGCTGGCGGCCCGTGAGGGGAAGAGCGCTGACAATGCACGCCCTCGGTCCACGGGAGCTCCTCGAAGTCCGGTGGTGGCGGACCGGGACCAGGACCGGGACCGGGCGACGGCCTGCTGCTCCTCTGCGGGTTATGCCAGCCGTGCGCTTTCCAGGCGTGTTCCTGAAACTTCTCGGATGGCTGACGATATACGGGCATGCGTAGTACTTTAGCCCGTCCGGCCGCAGAGGGCCGAAGAATGGGATCGTCATCCTCGCAATCCGGTCAACCATCCCCGACCATCTCGACTTTTGTTGCGCGCGTCCACGTCAGCGTCAATGTCTTTACTGTATGCGCTGCTTCCCTGCGAGAGACTTCCATGGCTGATAAACATCAGGTTCGTGGGCCGCAATACAAGTATCGTGGGCATGTTGTGCACTTTCCGCGTGACGTTGGCAAGGTGTATTTTGAGCTTCCCTTATTGCCAAGGATTTGGACGATTGTCATCCTCCGACCACGTGGATGCGAAGGGGTCGAACAGATGGACCGACAATTCCGCACCGCTTCTGAGTCCGCCGAGCAGCAGTCGAGATCTGGCTCAGATTCCTCGCAGACAACCACCCTGGCTACAGAGATTTCACCTGGAACTACGACAACCTCTCCCAGTTGCCAGAGGATGGCAATGTCGTTGACCAGTTGAACATCCATGAGGCCGAGGAGTCGGGGGGTCTGGCTGCAGATTTTGGCCTATCGAAAAGCCGGAAGAGGACCGTGAGGTAGTTGACGAAGCCGCGGTGCCAAACATGCTGATCCACGACTCCGAGTTGAACCAGCTTCAAGGGCGGATCAATGATGGGGTTGAGGCCGATGAGCAAGTTCCCCTGCAGCCGGTCGACCCCTAGGTAGCTTATCAGCTGCAGATGCCTTCCATCCGACGTACTCCTCTCGACGAGTTCAACGAAAAGTATGCACTGCTGTAACTGGTTTCCCCGACCCTGTTTCCTACTAGGTACGTCCAGACTCAGCCACGACGAATCAATCAGTTCTATTAGGAATTGTATCTGTTATCAATGTCCTGTCGAGTTTTCGTAGCATTCTAGTTAGTTGCAGCGTAGCAAGACGTCAAACTCTAGGGAGAGCTCGAGTCGCAGAGGGTCGCTCCGAAGGGTGCCACGGCGAGCCCCGGCAGGCAGCAGACGGGCGGCAGCAAGGTTCTGCGTGACACTAGAGGAGGATACACAACGGAGACAGCTGGCCAGACCTTCGTCGTCCAGCTGATCAAGCGTGTCTGACGCGTACCGAATGCTCTTGCTCCTACAGACCGATCTGTATGAAGCTTGAAAGCCGTCAAGGCCGTTCCCGATCGGATTTCGCTTGATGACCTCCAATCGCGATTGGTCTGCCATTGCGCTCGGCATGCAAAATGGGACGGAAGCGTGTATTCTTTCGTGTCTGTTTGCTGGTGTTGAGCCAAGCCACCCCAACCTTTACCGTTGCTGATTCGTTCTCAAACCCCCAACTCGGCATGCAGCAGATCCCTCACCTATCCAGCTTGCTACGACGAGTCCTCAAACCTCTGTCTGCCCATGTCTGCTTTATCTAGCGTATTCTCCTTTGTGAAGAACGAAGTTGCTAGCCCAATGACCGAGAAACCAACAAGAACGTACCAAATGGTCCGCAACGACTTCGTGTTCACGTTAAGGAGCGGTGCGATGCTGTCGGGTGGCAGCTCTAGCGCCCGAAGATAAGGGATCAACTCGATGGCCGCGTTTCCGCTTCTGAACGCCTCCATGGTATCGGGCAATGGGCCCAAGTCTGCGATCGATTGTTCCCAGATGCTGCTGAAGACGGTTGAGCCAACTGCGAGGCAGATCAGGGCGCCAAAGAGGCGAAACGACACCAACAGGCCCACGGCGAGGCCCGTATCGTCCACGGTTGGCGCGCTCGCCTGGATGGGGAGCACAAGGACGCAATATAGCGAGCCGATGCCGATTCCCGCAATGACCTGAGCGGAGACCTTGACGGCCGTGGTTGCATCCGGTCCCAGGAGAGACAACAGGCCGAGGCCCACGGGCAGGAGAACCCATCCGGACCAGATATTCCACCGGTACTGGCGGAAGAACTCGACCAACACGGCCGACAAGCAGCTGAAGACGACGGTGACGATGCTGAGCGGCAACAGCGACACGGCCGACTGTAGCGGCGTCTCTAGTAGGGTGGACTGGAAGAAGAGAGGGAGATACAGCATGAGGCAGTAGACGATCATGCCATGGATGAAGGAGCCACACAAGGTCACGGCGGCCGTCGTGGATTGAAACAGGCGATGCGGCATCACCGGCTCCGCCGGGCGTGACTCGTAGACGGCGAAGACGGCGAGGACGACGACCCCGATGAGCAGAGGAAGCAGAGTCCTCCAGTCGCTCCAGGGATACATGGCGCCCGCCCAGCTCAGGGGCAGCACAAACGCCGTGGCGCCAGCCGTGAAGAGCACCATGCCGGTCCAGTCGAGGCGGTAGAGCCTGGCAGCGAAGGATGCCTCAAGTGAGCGCAGCCGGAGGAAGAAGAAGACCAGGGCCAGCGCCAGCGTCGAGATGGGAAGGTTCACCCAGCCAATCCACCTCCAGGTCACTCATTGGCTGAAGAGGGCTCCCATCGAGGGACCCAGGATGCTCCCCGCCGACATGGGGATGGCCAGGATGCCGAGGTACAGGGGCCGCTCCTTGAGGGTCGTCATATCGGCCACGATGATCTCGCCGAGGACGTCGATGCCGCCGGCACCCAGCCCCTGGAGGATGCGGCCGACGGTGACGACGGCCATGCTCTGGGCGGCAGAAAACACGACGGAACCGGCGATGAAGAGGAAGAAGGAGGCATAGAGGGGGATTTTGCGGCCGAGCACGTCCGAGGTGCTCGTGTAGAGAGGCTGTGTGACGACAACACCGAGCATGAACGAGATACTGGCCCAGAAAGCCTGCAGGGTGGTGCTGTGCAGTTGGCGGGCGATTTCCTAGGTGTTCCCAGAGGGCTGGTTAGCATGGCAGACTTCCTTTCCAGTCCCCAACGAGGGGGCCTCGGTGGGAGAATTCAGGGGTGGGGGACGCAACTGGGATTGCCACGGCGAGCACCGTCGCGTCGAGGGATACAATGAACACCATGATGTTCAGCGCGAGGAACGACATGTGGAACGACAATGGCTTCTTGGCAGGGGTGGTCGTTGGCCCATCGCTGGCGGCCGAGTCGTCGGCACCGGCCGCGAGCGGCGCCGCTCCAGCGTCTTGCATGATTCGGGATGCGTCAGCAGCAATGCACTCGGAGTCCTCGTGCGTCTTTGATGCCTGGCAGCGTCAGTCTATGCCCGGAAAAATGAGAAGGAACATTCCATTGGGGGTGATGCGCCTGACCTAGTATTTTAGGATATCTAGTCAGTTGCAGATGTGGCCGTGTTCCAGGGCCAGCATGGGCATGGTTCGCACTGTGATGCCGACGGTGATTAGCCCGTATACTCGAGGGCGCACACCCGCGGCGCAAACGTTCCAACCTGCTTGGAGCACCCCCGGGTTCCGGCGACCGATGGGTGGGGAGCAGCGTTTGCAATTGAGGGATGGGCTGACAACTATCAACCTGGACAACTATCAACCTGATACAGTCGCGACCTGGTGAGTTAATATACCTGTGGTTGTACTGCATCAGGTCGGACGCCGCGGAAACTCAGCCGGGAAGAGATGGGACGGGTGAAGGTATGGAGCCCGCGGACCCCAACCGCCTGGCTTGCAGCCGCTGGAAGCCTGGAAGCGGGGGCGCCGTCTTGCGCAAGAACCTCTCCAGCCCGCCTCCGCCGCGAGGGTACACGGAGCGACTGGCGGTCTAGTCGGCCAACGCGAAACTGCAGCCAGACGCACAAGGGGCGCATCTGGTTCACAGATTGGCTGTAACCAACAAAGAGCTACGCGGAGGCCGCGGGCCCGTGGCCGCGTCGTCATGACGATGCTCCAAGCAAACTTGAAGCCATTGATTAATATCGCCCTGCGAGTACTTGAGATGGAAATGCAGGCGCTATTCGTTATGAAATGAGAGCACGATGAAAAGAAAACATCAACCCAGCAGCCAGGACATAGATATATGCGAGATCGAGGGCCGTGAAGCTTCATACACGGCGCCTGCACCTGATATATCAACATGGCGCATACCCCCTCCTCCCCTCGGGTCGTTGGCTGTAAGGCAACACCTTGCGTGATCCTGCCGGCCCGTGCCGCACTGTCGCCTCAAGGTATTGGCGCCTTCACCTGAGCCTGACGGAGCGCATGCATCTGAGAGTGCAATTCTGCTGGGACATTTGACAGTTATATTAAATGGGGGCGATAGGAGAGAGGGTCTGGTTAACGCTCTCCCGCTGTGAATTAAAGCATAGTAATTAGCTGTATCGCCGCAAAACCTGCACTTGTGTCGCCTCCAGCTCTTCTCGCGCGAGATGGTCCAAAAAGCCCTATGAGCCTCCTATGAGCTGTGAGCCTGCCTAGGTAGTTAGCGGCAGCTGCATGAAACCACGAACTGAATATGTCATCGACAGAGCCCGCCATGCGCCCGGGAAAGCGAGGCCGGAACGAACCCGATGAGGAGATGGGCAACTCCGGCTCCCCGGAAACCGCGAAGGGCTACTCGGGTAACTAACACCTCCGGACCTGAAGTTGATCTACGCAGGTTGCTCTAGACACTCAGTGCTAACGACGGGCGCCCACCGTGTGACAGTTTGCGACCAATGCCGCTTCAAAAAGATACGGTGTGGCAGGGAGAAACCTCACTGCCTGAACTGCTCTCGGGTAAGTACCTATCCATGCCATATGTATATTATTCCTACACCGCTGTGCCCTCGGGCTTGCCGGACCTTCAACAACTTGCTATACAGGAAAACCGCGCCCTCGTGGGCCGGGTGAAAACCCATATCGACAATCAAGGAAACGATCAGTGTGCGATCCTGCAAATACAAAGTGGGAAGGCCTCTTGGCCTT